AGGAATTGCAGCAGCAGCTCCATCCGAGGAGGAGGAAGAGCGCGTCCGGACCGAGGAGAGTGCGTCCCGCTGCGCAGAGCTGTCAGAGATCCCGGCGGAGTCGGTATTTAAAGTCTGTCAGTCCGTCAGGGACCAGCGGCTTTAAAAGGAGAAGCTGCCGCTCTGGGTGACGTCACGACAAACACCACGCCCCCATTCCTCCCCTCTCCATCTCTACCTCCCTCTCTCTCTGACTTTCCTCCTTGTCCCCTCGCTCTTCTCCCCCTGTGCCCTCTCTCCTTTCCTCCTTCCTTCCTTTCCTCTTATCCTCCCCTTCTCTTTCACTTCTCCACTCCTTTCTTCCCTTCACATCTTTCTCACCTCTTCTCTCCCTTCCCCCTCGCTTTTTCTCCCCCATCCAAACACATGCAGCCAATTATGTCACTGAGAAACTGAGTCCAAGCCTCTCCACAGTAAACCACGCCCCCTGGCATTCTAGCTCCTCCCCCATCAGCTACAAATGTAATTATTCTGTAAAATAATCTGAGATTCAAACAGCTGGTTTGACTGACATAAGGAAAAGTTCTGATTTATTTTTTTTATTTATGATGTTTTTCAGCTCCAGCGCTACGCCACAGTTAGACTGAACTTCCTGTTCTGTCCTGGACTCACCTGAAGGTGAACTGAAACCTACACTGACCTGTGAGCAGGATAAAGTTCTGGATGTTCTCTGACATCAGCACAAACATAGAGGATGAGTCATTTTGGGGAGTTGGATAATGCTGGCCCACCTCATTTCTAAAGTGAAAAGACTTTTAAGCTTTCATTTTTCTCTTAAGCTATTATTTATCTACAGCTTCAAACATGCAGCATGTGTGTTTTAATCCCTAAAAATGTGTCTGGTGGTGTCCAGCCTTCGAATGTGAACTTTTGAAAGTGGAAAATCTTCACACCCATGTACACAAACGTGAAGCTGTGGAAAAGATCTGCTTATAAAATTAAAATAAGCGTTCCCATTCACATCCAAGAGCACAAAATCTGGATAGTTTGTATCCACAAGCACAAATCTAAGAATCTGTGGTTGTGGATACCAGTAAAAAAGTGTCTGTCTCACTGGTTGTCTCACAGCAATCTTGCAGAAACCATTAGGTAAAGTGAGGATGTGCACATGCCCCGTACAGGTGTGTGTGTGGTGCATCTCACCTCCTCCGTTCTTGTAGCACAGGTAGGGGAACCTCCACACGTTCCCGAGTCCTACAGCAAAGCCCACACAGGACATGATGAAGTCCATCTGTCGCGTCCAGGTTTCCCGCTCCTGGTAACCAGGCCCCGCTCCGTTGACCACGCCACCTTTTTTGTCCTGTCCAACACAAGCAGTGCCCACCACTCCACCAGCGACGCCTGTCCCCGCCACCGTCAGCGGGACGAGGCTGCCATTAGCGGCCGCAGGGGTATAACCACTGCCACCGCCCCCATTAGAGAGAGTTATGGGGCTCTTTTTGGTCTCTTCCAGGAGAACCAGAGAGCAGGAGGAGGCTGGAAGAGCCTGCTTCTCCATCATTCACAGAATGGGAACCAGTCAGGAAGTGCTCCAAATATTCAGCCTCTGTATCCCCTTTAATTCCTGCAGGTTATGTCTGCAATATCTCTTATTTCTGTTCAGGTGTTTCCCCACAGTTCCCACTCAGGTTAGCAGTCAGACCAGTAGGAAGAGTCAGCAATGGTTCCCACTTAGAATCCCTTTATTTTCTTCAGATTTCAATCTTTTTAATTCACTCCTAAACCCAGACACCAGTTAGATACCAGAAGGAATAATCAGCTGTGATTTAGAGTGTTTTAATTCCTGCAGATTCTAATCCTTAAAGTCAGTTTC